TGTGTTGTGTTGTGTTGTGTTGTTCCCGTGTTATTGCAGATTGTTGCATGGTGTGATGTTAGCTGTTTATTTAATCGTTTCTTTTTTTGTCTAGGTTTCATGGTTTCAGTTGTTGGTCTTTTTTCGTTTTGTTTAAGTCATTCATCTCCTCGTGCCGGTGACGGATCTCCTGTCTTTCGATGGAATGTTTACATTCAGGTTGTTCTCCCGTTGTTTATTCTTTAGCAGTCGTAGAAGCCATGAAATTTCGATCGTTTTCTACGCGTTCATGTTGTGCTTGTATAGGCGGTAATAGTTCGACGTTGGAGCTAATCGTGAATATGTTCCCCGGCGTTTTGATTTCGGTACACGTCAGGTAGGTTCTTCTTTAGATCTACTTCTGTTGCGTCGGTTTTATTCTTAGTTCTCCCTCATGTGACCGCTTCTTCAACTAGTATGTTTTTTCCCCAAAATGCTCTCTGTTTGTACGAATGCTCCACAGACGAATCTTTTGAATAAATACTATTAATAATAATAGTAATTACAGCGAACTGGATCACGATGTCAGTTTTTAATATTGAACAATCAGCAGTGTATATGCCGGTGTGGTCAAGTGGTTAGGTCACTCACTCGTGACGTGTATCCTGGTAGTAGGCTGCTCAGTCGCGTCCGGTTAAACATCACGCCTAACCTTGTGGGATCCTATGTGGTTCGCCACTCCCAATCCTGGGACTTAGGTTGCCAATTTCCACCACTGAACAGTAGGTCTTCGTGACTATGGGTTTGGCCTCATCTACTGTTCATTGTACTCATGTGTGTAATAAGAAAATATGTACCCACTGATACCATGAAGTTCCATAAATTGTTGTTAATGTTCAATGTTTGAATGGTGGTTGGATCTGCTTCTTCCTCCTCATTCGTGTCGGGTTTCACTCGATCATATTTGAGTCGAGGATTGGAGTTCGCGACCTGTACACGCGCTGGCAGTTCGATCCAATATGTTCTAGCATTGAACTTGTGCGATGATTTCGTTTTTGGTTTTGGACTATCCAGTTGCCTGGTCAAAGAGGAACGACTGAAAGAAAGAGTTCAATAGCTGAATGAGCCATCCAGATAAAATTTTCAAGTAAACCATTTCTGTTGTCGTGAATTACCCAAAATGCATACACGGTTTGATTTCACAGCAATATCAACCAAACATTGTTCAATTGAGCTTCTTGAACATTTCTCAAAATACACCACGTGGAGATTCAATATGAAGCTATCTAGAATGGTTGCGGTATAGCTGTATAAAACATTTTTTAGTACGATTGAGCAAGCACATACGTGTACCGGTTTTGGTTACTGTTTTCAAGACTGTCCATTCGGATAAAAGAGTAGAAAGGAGAATGAAATGTTGAGAGCAGAGTCCAAGGGACGGTTTGAAGGGAGAATGGGTAGGTGCACCAGCGCCTCTGTTTGCCATACTCGACCAAATCGCTCAGTATTTCCAACCCCCGGTTACGATAACCCCATCCTGGAGCCTAACACGGCTTATAGGAAGGCTGTAACCTCTCAATTGCCCATCATCTATGTGGGNAGACAGCTTCACTATCGTCCGATTCGATGCCACACGTAACCTAGCGGGGTCTGATGTGATTTGCCGCATCAAGTCGCGCTGCTTAGATGGCCGGTACCCCTGATTGAATGAACAGTCCTTGTAGTCTGCTGTTTTCACACACGGGTGCAATCAAACCCTCTGATCAATCTTACTATGACAGTTTTCTTGCTTAATTGCAACATCCGTTGTAAATTTAAACAAATGTAAAAATGCACAAGGTTATGCTATTTTAACGGTATCACATCTGAATTTGGAACGGATGTCTTTGAAGAAATTGTGTGTCGTGCTCACAGTATTGGATCCATATAGGAATGTTCGGATTAGCCACACCGAGAGAAAACCAGAAAAAAACAATTCGGTTCACGACGTTTCGACCGTCTTGGAAGGTCTTTTTCAAGTTAATTAACAAGCGAACAATAGACAAAAATTGTGACAGAAACCGTATCGATTGGAGGTGTTTTGGATTAGTCTAGGGGGGGGGGCAACATTTGAGTTGGTGTGTGAGAGGTAATAAATGAGATCATGGAAGTTGTGATTGAAGCAAGAGGTCACGTAGTTTATGATGACGTCATAGAAGATGGGAGATTTATCAGTTTTGTGATGTGGTTAGATTAAATCTTGTTTGTTAGTGAGCGGTTGATATTAAGCCAACGAACTGATAATTGGGTCCTGTACGATCGACTGACGCAAAGTGGATCGTTGATGATGAACAGTGATTCAGTGTTCTCTATATGACTTGATCTCATTTATTACCTCACACATACAACAACTCAATTGTTCCTCTCCCTAGACCAATCAAAAGTATCTCCAATCGATACGGTTTCTGTCACAATTTTTTGTATTGTTCGCTTGTTGATTAACTTGAAAAAGACCTTCCAAGAGGGTCGAAACGTCGTCAACCGAATTGTTTTTTTTCCTGGTTTTCTCGTTGTGGCTAATCCGAACATTCCTATATGGATTGAATATTATGCGATTTTCATCCTATTGTCAATTTTTCTCTTTCTGAGAAATGATATTTGATTTATGCCAGTTTATATTAGATCTGTATGATAATTAAAATGTGATTCACCGTCGAATTTGAATGCTATTTTCGGACTACTGGAGGCCGTTGTTAGGTCCTACCAACAGTGCATTTGCAAAAGGTCCGGAATGATTTGAAACGTGACATTTCGGGTTGTTTAATCTCATGCTACCCGTACTGGCTCAAGAAGCGAGTGGTTTCGGGTCAACTTTATATAACTGAGCTCATCTGGCTCTAAGCTCAAACAGTGACAACGATCGATTCCTTCTGAATAATGGTCCAGTATGGTTCGGCTGGCATTGACGATTCACTGGGTATAATGATTGCATGCGGGGTCAATTTCTACCATCGAATCACTAAACTAGTTTGTGCACTGGCTTATTGTGCAAGGGTGATAATAGTACAAGAGCACACCTTGGATTCGTAGAAATTGTCAAACTAGGAAATGAAGACGATCAAATTGAAACAAACTGCAAGCTTTAGAGACAACACTGTCAATCTTTTCTATTTCGTTTTTCATATCAGACGGGGCGGGACTTATCGGGGCTCGTCTGCGTTTCGTTACGTTCGAGCACGACCAATAGACGATCACCATTTTGTAGTCCCAATTGTTCGGCAGTTTCGCACGGTCGAAGTGGTGCGCTCAGAATGTCCCGTGATCGTCGAATTCTTACTTTTACTCGAGCCGGGTCACGTAGATTGAACCGATCCGCCACGGCAATCATCAACACAATCAGTGGAATATCGTCCTTGATGCGAAATCGAAACCGTCTGCAAGAAGTCAGTTTTCTAGTGTCCTCTTCGGTGGGGGCGACTAATAAGCTCAATTTGAGCCAGTTACCTTTGTCCACTGTATCCACATGATACGTTGTCTGAAATGAGGGACGTTCAACTGGTGACTGAGGAAGACGCACCGTAGAGACAGACAATCTTGGCAGTTTTCGTTTGGGTCTGAGTTCCCGGTTGACCCACTGGATAGCTTCATTTATACAGTCTAAACCGTATGCTCTGCGCAAACTTTGATGCAGAGTGTTTACCACCCGGAATATATGACGCGATGCTATGCGAGTACCAGGTTTATAAGTTCTACTCGGCTCATCGTAAATTAAATGGAATTTCAACTCTTCTAGCAGCTTTGCTCGATTAACTGACCGATGTCGAAATCGACTGTGTCTTTGGTAATCGAATGGCAGATCGCCGAAACTTGTTTTCGTTCCTGCACTGGTTCGTTCATCGTAACTGTATGCTCGTTCTAGGCCTCGTCGTCGAAAAGAAGCCGTTCGACTTTTTTTTGATTTATTTCTTCTACTCACTCCGGATATGGCACTGTGAACGGAAAGACTTGCTGTGTGATACGTGGACTGGTCTTCATCCGGTTGCGTTAGAGATTGTACAAAATCGTCACTATTTGTGTCCGGCCACTGCCCAGGATACTGGATTCGAGGTAAACGGATAAAGTATAGTCCCTGTTTCGTGATTATGGACTCCAAAAATGAACGATATGATAGACGTTGTTTCTCTATCTCGGACAATCTTTCATCTCGACTGTTTCTTCTCTTTTTCACGTCCGTATAGATTGAGTGTGTATTGGTTACGGAAAAGCCTTTTGAGTTCATATTGTTAACTTGTGGTCCGGTGTGCGTGGGTGTGAGCACTCACTTGTTGGCCTTCCTTGTTCGCTGCCTATTTGATCGATGAATAGCTTTCGAATGCCCGCAGCCCAACTCTAGGTGAAGAATTGGCACGTGACCTAATGTACACAGCTTGCCCATAGAATGAACACACATATCACGTGTGTATAGGTACAGGAAGAACATACTGTTGAACAACAGCTTCTATCATCGACAAATCAGACCAGAAATTGTGTAGTCTTCTTATCTGTAAGCGGAGACCGTTCAGCTCCCGAGTAGCGGTTTGAACATGTAACGACTAGCGAAGGTTGCTTTCAAGTGTAACACCTAAGAACTTCATATGACTGACTCTGTTCATTGGTTTTCCCTGAATCTGTACATTGTGTTGTTGGAAGATGGGGAAAGGTTTAAATTAACAATTCATTCAAGGCATTTTTCGGGATTAAGTTTAGGACCGGACAAAGTTCACTTTGTCGTGTACTTAACGAAGTTGGATAATTTTGTTATATGCGGCCAATTCTCACTAGTTAGATATAGAAACAGAAATGGCTATATCATCAGCATAGTTAAAATGTCTTACAGAGGATTACTAGGTAAGTCAATAATATAAGTCGCAAAAAGATTGCGTTATAACAAAACTCCTTGAATTACACCGGACCCATTGAGTAATGTCGTTGACTGTCTTCTTCCCAGTTTAACATACTGATATCTCTGCAAAAAGTAATCACTTAGCCATTCACGAACAGAAGTGGAACAATTAAACAACGAGTTTGTTAAGTAAAACAGAACGGGGCACCCAGAAAATAGCTTAGTTTTCTATAACTTTGCTAGAGCCAGCATTTTAGTCCAGTTTTTTTCCTCGCGTTCCCATAGAGCACTCCATCCCACAATCAATCAAGTCCTCCATTGCACCGCGTCACTAGTTATCAGGTTCGGAATTTCTACTGATAATATACTTATGTGAAGTTCGCTACCGTTGTTAACCTTATCGAAAGAAGGTTTGGCTGCATCTGCTCAGCCTACCTGTGACCTAGTGGGTATCAGCCGGTGTGACCTCGCATACGGGTTCGTGAATTAGCATATGTTACGATAACGCACTAGTTTTGAAGAAAAATAGAACTATTCAGTTTTTCATTCAGGTTGCGTTTGTACGCTCAACCGGGAATCATTTTACATAATCCATTCTACTATTAAATATCTAAAGAATAATGCTCCGATTCATTTGTAAAAAATCAATGTGATGGTGATCTACCGTTTAAAGTCATCGACCTGCTCCCAGGTTAAAACTCCTAACCATGTATAAATCTGACCTGATTCCAAACTATAACCATATCTTTACTATGGAGTCATTATTTAGTTCAGTTCATTTTGTACAACCAATACCATGCACCTTCGTGCGGCGGTTTTGGGTTACCCAGCGTCTCTAACCATCGGTTACGATCATCCCGAGGTCCCCAGCCAGAGAGCCTAACTGAACCTATGTAAACCCAGCACCCTGGTTATGGATTTCTCACTGTCGTGCCAGATCTTAGGTTGACCGCCCTTAGCATTTTTCTACGCACTACATGCATCGACAAACATCCCTTGCCGTGGCAAACTATTTAGTGACATGGGTAACACGTCCCAACTAACGAAATCTATGGAGGTCGACCACTTGCTCCAGTTGGTGGCCGCGGATACCCAAAACTCTGCTCCTAACCTCAGCATTGCTCGTCCGGCTGCCCCACCAGACTCGTGTAATGCTGCGTAGACCCTTCACTGTTAACCGGATTTCGTGACGGAGGCACACATATCTCATCGTCATCATCATCGTACGGCGAAATACAGTAAAGCGAACTTCGCTGATCGCTGCCAAACTCGCAATGCATACAAGGTTAGTTGTAAAATTTAAGGTGGACAGGGGTTGGATCTATTTTGAGGGAGAGAGAAGAAGAGCCGCCATTTTCAACACGCAGAGTGCACGATTGAACTCTGCATACATATCGTTTCAGGCATTCTGACCTGATAAGAAATGACAACAAGAATGTCACTGTTGCCGGTTCGCTGCCTTATCCTTCAATGTCTTCAACCAACCAGTTGTGGAGTCTTTCGGACCCC